AATAAATAAATGACCCTCAGACACAACCTATATCCAGACGCTCTGAAATGTAAACAACAAACAAAGGGTCAAAGTAACTCTTGATGTCTCTTATGGCTAGACAAAACAAAGAGACCACATTTCACACTTATTTTTAAACACAACACACTCAGGAAAGTCATAAAAGCTTGATGAACTCTTTAAAGATAGAAAAGGGGTGGTAAAAGAGGAAAAAACATTTTTTAAACATATTTCCATGCTGGGTTAACTGGTGAACAGGCATAACTATGTGAAACTTGACAAAACAAGTCTTAGAAGCTAGTTGGGAAGCCTGGTGGGGACACTAGCATGCTAACATCTCATGCTGGTGACCAGCATCCAAAATACAACATATGCTTCTCTCCTGGTGTTTTTCAGCTGAAAAATCAACAAAGAGGAAGATGAAGGTGAACAACGACAAAGCCTTTGAGTGAAAACGTGTGTTAGTCATTGTTCGTTCCTTTAAGGTTTATTCCTTTTTGTCATCTTTCAAAAAGCTGGTAATTCTCATTGAGAGCAAGAGAATGGGAGGCATTTTTGAGAGATTTAAAATGAAAAAGGGCAGAAACTGAGCATACGAAAGGGGAAAAACAGACAGGTGAACGCTAGGGCAGATGATGCCGTGAGAACAGCTCAGAGTGAGAGGAGAAAAGCGGCACGTAGCTCACATTTAAAATCAGTCACACATTAGTCATCAGGACCACCTGGAAGCGCATGAAAAAAGAAAGACGAAGACAATGACCAATGCTTATTCACTTTCCACTTTTGAAACGCTCGGATATATTAAACCACCTGTTCCTCCACTTGTCTTTTCAATGACGCAGAACGCTGCCAAAAGATGCCGCAACGAAAAACATGTTCGTCTGTCGCTCTTCCGTCCTCTCCGAGTTTTTTCGCCTCGTAAGTGTGTCATTGAGGAACGCTCATGTCTGTCGTGTAGGCATATGTGACGGCTGAAATCAGTGTTAGTTATGTTCCAATTTAAACGGTGTAACAGAGCAACTCAAGAGTGCTGAGGGTCAAGAAAAGGACCTCCATTATGTACTTGCAATGTTTCTGTCAGTACGTGATGGGATGGGGAAAACCATCTTTCAGAGCGTGACACTTGATGTAGCAGAAAGGTTGGGTGACATTAAGGATGTCCAAAAATATGTTGTTGTTGTTTTTAAATGGACTAGTTAGTAGGTCACCTGAAGTACTAATTAGTCTTAAAAACCCAAGTGATACTTCGCCCAAAAAGGTTTTTCCAAATGTGCACGACTGCCCATAGAATTTAAGTCAATGGGGTTTTGGACCACACCGTCTTATCTTCTGAACATAAAAATTTAACTTTGAAGAACTTCTAAAATGACATCTTTTGTGTTCTGCCTAAGACAGAAACTTACAAATTTGGAAAGACAAGAGGCTGAATAAATGATAAAAATAAAAATTTTTGGTTGAATTATCAATCTAAGGAGGCCATGAATAATTAGGCTGGTTTTGGGTTCACCTGACCTGGTTCTTCGGGGAATTTACATTAGACAGGTTCTTGCTGGTGATGCTTAATATATCGGTACCATTTTGCTTATTAAATTCATTTATTAGTATCTGTCCATTCTAAATATATACCTTAACCAATACTGTATAATTAATTAAATTATCATTTATAACATAGGCTATTAATATTATCTTAAAGTCAGCATTATGTGACAGCAAAAACTTAAATGTAAATATAGCACATTTACAATAAAATAAATATCCAATGCCAGCATATATACAATATCAATATCAATAACATACATACAATATCAACCAATATAGATACATTTATATTAGAAATACCGTGTTAAAATATAAAGCTTGTTTTGTGAAATTTTTTGTGGTGGAGTTCCTGAAGATCTCCAAATTAATAATGTGCAATTATCACATGAACATCAACAGACTTTTCACAGAACCAGGATTACCATCTAGATAAAACTGGAAAAGCCACTATCTGGAAAAGAAAAAGAAAAAAAAGAAAAAAAGAAAAACTACTAGGCCGCAGCTCTGACGGCGATCAGAAAATAAAGGATAAGATCTTTTAAAATCACTCACCAGAACAATATAGTTATGAACTCATCTGTTTACAAGCAACTCCACATGCAAAATTACATGACAAATATGCAAACCATTCTGCTGGTGTAACTAAATACAGAGGTTTAGACAAAGGCTCTGATGGAAGACAGGCTTCTGTGGGAGTTTTAGGAAGTTTGCAGTGAGCAGGTACCACTATATCCTGCTTTCAATGTTTTTCTCTTTTCCCTTCTTTCTATTCAGTAAGCATCCCTAATATTGGACTAAATGCTGATTTCAGATCCTCTATAACTGAGAGTAGCATTCAATAGCTTGTCTATAAGTAGACTGAAGTACTTCCAGATGACCCTGTCTTTTTAAAAAGGGGGGGGTAAAGATGTGGTATCAAGGGTTTCTTGGTGGCACTAGTGGCAGCCTGGTTTTGGGGAACTGGCTCTCCACTTCTGGGAGCCAAGCCAGAGTCACAATCCTATAGCAATCGTCGGATTAGTTATGAACCAGATTCCACAGATCTCAAGATTTGCATGTTATATCCCATTATCTTTCCTCCCAACTGGAGGACTTACTCGCACAAAGTGCATCACTGGCCACTTGAGTAAAAAAGAGAAAAGAATGGTAGACAAAAAGAAAGAAGAGTCAGAGTTTCCCCAAATTCCACCATCAGGAAGTTTACAAAAAAAACATAACGGTTTAATGCTATGACTGCAAAAACCTAGTCACCGTTGAAGCCCTGACTTGGAGAAGCCAATATAACTGCGGCGCTGACAGTGAGGAGGATTTGACTCATGGGAACCCGCTTGTTTTTCTGCCCCTGATCCACTGACACGCTAGGGAATGGGCACTGTTATCAGCCTTGCCTGAGATAGCAGGCTTGATGGGGCGGCCAGTCCACGGGGATCCCAGAGCTGAAGTTAATCAGACGGAGACAGGTCTGGCGCGACCCATGGGACCTCCGCCGCTGCCGCTGCCTCCTCCTCCTCGTCCTCCATCTCCACCACCCCCATAACCACCAAAACTCGTCACGACCTCCACCGTAAGACTCTTCACACAACATTAGCCTGGTGTCTACAAAAGCCTCAAAAATAGACAGAAAGTGGGCTCAGGTCTTCCAAGAATTGGCCAGCCATTGGATCGAGAGTTGATGGCTGGGGAAATCGCTCAACAGTGCTGAGTAACCCTCGAGGAACGAACTTGACGTGTTCACTTCATCCTAGCCCAATTAATAAAAACCCCAAACCCAGAATTAATCCACTGGACTCAACATTATGAAGGCAAATGGAGATTAATAGCCTGATGAAAAGATTTGGGAAAACACAACACAGGCCGGATATGCTCTGACCTCCTGAACTCTGCCGAGGGTTAAAGGTCAGGGGAAACCGGTCATTAATCCTCAGACTAGAACTCGGGGGCAGGATATCTGAGCCTTTCAAACTCGCCGAGTCCCTGAGGTCCAGTAGCAAAGCCTAGAAACTTATCTAGAGTTTACTTAAAGGCCACCGAGCATTTCAAACAGTCAATCGGAGCAGACAGCCTGTTTCACAACAGCCGCGTCAACGTCGAGCACGGGTGGTCAGTCGTGCGGAGGAGGGGGTCATCAGAACACTCATTTCGACAATCCCATGTGTCCATTGGGTATTAGAAATGATTAGGCGTATAGATTAATTGAACACACGTCAGACTTAATTAAGCATGGCGTTTAATTAACCATGTAATTAATCTTATAGAGGCCGTACACAGGCGAGCAGATTCCAATTGGTTGAAACTTCAGCAGGCAGCTGACACAAACTTGTAACTGTTCTCTGCTAGCAGGTCCAGTAAATTAAATGTCTGAGGCAAGAATAGACGCATAATCCCTTTCATGACTCAAGCCCCAAGATCTGGCCCAGGTGAGACTCTGGTGCTAACAGTTAGCGGTAAATCATAGTTACTTTCATATAATCTTTTGACACATTATCCTCCTCTGGAGCGTATTCACGAGGTTTTAACACTGCTAATGTGTCGGGTAAAAGATATTTGCACAATTTATATTTGACGCTAAATGTCTGCCAAAGAAAACATGCAGAGTGGAAAAGAGGTCCCAGTGTATTCTGCAAATTGTAGATACAGGCGCGAACACTCAAACTCTTCAAGACTGAGCCCAAGGGTTGAGCAAGGGTCAGTGTTTGTGGTCACATTAACATGGTCATTTGCAGTTGGAAAGCCAAAGAACTACCCTTTTTGGTGGAGCTCAAGGGTTGTCCACACATGCTACTCCAGTTCTCCAATACTAACTTAAAGGTCTTCCGCAGATCAAGGGGTCAAAAGGGTCATGGTGCAGACCTTCAAGATAGCCCAGCCTACTCTTAATCCTGCAGCCTTAAAAGGATAGATCATCCAAAAATTAAAATTGTGTCCATCACTTTCTTGTTGTTCCAAACTTGTATGACTTACTTTCTTTTGCAGAACACAAAACCAGAAATCTTGATGTTGTTGTCCAGTTGACTTTCTTTTTATGGACCGAAAAGACATTTCTCAAAATATCTTCTTTTGTGTTACACAGCAGAATGCAAGTCATACAGGTTTGGAACAACATGAAGGCAAGTAAATTATACCAGAATTTTATTTTTGGGGTGAACTATCCCTTTAAGCATCTGGGCTACTGTGCCAGAACTTTATTAGAACCAAAGGTGTATCCTGGTACTTAGACAATGAAGCTACCACATATTTACGATTATATTTATAGATATTACGAAATTTTCTGTGATAAAAGTCACAACCTGGGTGAACATATTTATAGCACATGCGTTCTATCAAAAATGAACCGAAGCTTAAGATAAACAGCACCGGTAACTGTAAAAAGACAGTAAACCTGATCATTTGGGTTAACGAAATCACCAACAGCAGAACTTCAGGTTCAACCAAACCCCATGGCGGATAAAATAGGAACTCACATAGTCGTGGAAAGCCTTGGCCTCGCTGGAATGTTCACATGTCTCCCGTCGATCTGGAGCTGCACAGTACAGATCCCAGAATACACTGCAAAATAAGGCAGAATAAACAAAGCTGAGTATCAAATACATGGGTGAACTTCACCGAACTAAACAGCTGCCGATCTAAACACCAACAGGCTGTGGTACACTTAACACATCAAGCCCATGTGAAAAATAGTACAGAATGGCATGGTTTGTTCCAGGCCTTGTTGTTTCTTTTTGTTTCTCCAATTAGCCTAGTCTTTACCAAAAATGTTTTTACAGAAAAGCTTGTGCTCAGCTGTGATGCAACTCACCTACTCACAAATAAAAACACAACATTGGAGTTGTCATTTACAACCCTTAAGGGTTTATTTTAAAACCCTTTATATAATTTAATTCAGTAATTTCACCATTCTGAGCTTTTTTGATGGAACCACCGAAACTACTAAGAAACATAATTCAAAGCAATACATTTATAACAATGATACAATGTATTTTTAACATTCAAACTAATTTAATTTAGATTTTGCCGGATTGAGTTGTTATGAAAACTTCTGATAACTTTCAAGTTAGTGATGCAAGATGTGAGACCCGCAGGGTTCAGGGGGCGATGCAGATTCGATTTTTCTGTGGTGTAAACATGCGAAATGGTTTCAGATCAAGCTTTGGCTCCAGCACACTGTAAAAGGCACGTCAGAGTAAGAACAGAAGACCAATCTTCTTCAGTATCACACTCAGAAGAACTTGACAGCTTCTATCAAAGCTGGGTCACTACAATCATAACCCCTGGATAGCTTCCCACTTTATGAGGTGTGACCTGTAAGTGGCTAATCAATTAGGCTTGATATTTGTTAATTAAGGAAATACAGTCCTTAAGGGCTGCTAGGGGGAGCGGGTTGCACTCCAAATGGTCCCTTAATTACTTCATTGAAAATAAGTACCTGTTAAACAGGTCGGCATTAAACTGCTCTCACTCTTTAGATATTGATTTAATGGACGCTTCATAAAAGCTGCTGAAGCAGGGCTTAAAAAAACGAACGCAAGTTGTTCCATCTTCCGAGGCAGCACTTTTTACTACTCTGCATTATTTCTGCTGATGTAACAAAATTAGACTTCTGTTCTGAATGTGGGAAAAAGCTTACGTTTGATGTGACAGATTGCAAAAAGGACAAAATAGGCCGCTCACGGCACGGCGACAGGTCAATGGGGATAATCAGTTTCCACCCATTTCATATATCTTGCCGTGGAGTGGAAACCATTTGACGGATTTGTGTTCGTGAGCATAACGCAAAGGATAGCTTATGACAGCTTTCATAAATCACTCACTGTTTATGGGTGGAATAAGAGAGCAAGGTTAAACAACATTCAGCTCATCAGACTACAAAAGTAGAGGAACTGCAGCAAAAATCAAGTGTTTAGATTTAAATGCAGACTGAATTCATACTTCTTACAGGGAATAGGTCAGCCAAATTATGTCATCACTTGCTCAAAATTACATGGATTTGGAACAAAATGAGGGTATCTTCCATGGAACACAAAAAGAACAATTTTAAAGACCACACTGGTCGCCCTTCTCTATGAAATTACAATAAATTAAGACCTTTCAAAAGGACACAAAAGTACCATAAAGGTAGTTCATATGATAAATCTGTGATTTCATGAATGAATCATTCAGACCATTTCTGAGAAATGGATGAAGATTCTCAGACTCTAAATGATTTATTCACAAATCAAACTTCTCTCATGAACATCAAAAACAGCTAGGGCACATAGGCCTAAATTTCAGTCTGATCTTCACACAAAGCCATTGTAAAGCTTCAAAAACTGGTAGCCTACAGCATTCTTTGGACCAATGTTGCATTTTGTCATTTTGGAGAAATAGCCTTAGTCCTCATTCATGTCAAGATGTTCTTCAAAAATTCACCTTTTGAGTTTCACAGAGGAAATAATGTCACGTATTTGTAAGAATTTTTGGGTCAACTATTCCTTTATATGTGGAGGCGATATATTTATAAGAATGGTGGGGATGATCTACTCCATCTAAATGAGAGAAAGTAAGCAGAGACACAAAAGACAAAAAAAGAAAAAGAAAAAAAGGAAGACAAGATGCATTACAAGAACCATATATAAGTGCGTAAATGAGTGCTCAGTAGGAGGTACCATACATTAACACCTCACATCCTATAGAAGCCATAAACCAGGAAACAAATAAAACAGGTGAAAGGAAGGGAAAAGAAAAAGCAAGAAAGGCACTTTGACAGAGGAACGTCATGCCTGTTCTTCGCCCTTCAGTCAGTGCACAATAAAGCCAGGCGGCATTATCATATCTATCAGCTGCCGTTAAAGAGATTGCAGCTTTGTCGGAAAGCTGCTGGAGGGAGACAGCAGGACCATCTCAAATCCAATCAGGGTGCAGGGGAAATGAAATAAGACGCCAGTTACACTTTGTTACTGAAAAGCCGCAAATAGACACACATCAAGGTGGGGAGGAATGGCGAGCACGAGCAAGTCACGATTTTTGTTGAAAAAGTGAGTTCGGTTACCTTGATTGCAGCAGGAAAACTCGTTTAATGCTTGCGTACTTTGCATGAACACAGAGGAAATGTGGGAAAGTTTGTCTTTAAAAAGCTGGTGTGATGACACTATGACATACCTGAGTGGCTTTTAAAATACAAAGTGTGACACTTATATTAGTCTACTAAGTGTAAAATTATCCAAAATCTTGTCATGTAAAAAATAAAACAATACTACTGAAACAAAATAAAAACTGAATTGTTTATTTAAAAAAGTAATAAAACTTAAAATACATACAAGAAAAACTAGAGGTAGTTTTAAAATTAAAATATTACAGCAAACGATCAGGGGGGAAAAAGGGTATTGGGATTGGGCAATGACCTAAACAACTGGATTCGAACACTGGTTGCCCGCACTTGCAACAGGCCTGTACACGTACACTTCCCACCATACCATGTCTCCAACATTTTTTCCTTTTGATAATAGATAATATAAGACAATATACACCCAGAAAAACAACTCCCAATACCTCAATGTGATATATTTTTATATATTCAGCAAGAAACAAATATGTAGGAGGAAATAATTAGAGTTTACCTATTAAAATATAAAAAGACTGAATAAGAATTTCCTAAAACCATGCCTAAATAACCATTTGGCAGTGTTAGAGAAATTATTTACTTTAAGACTAGAAAAATTAATCCATCATTGGGCCATTATTTTGATTTTAAAAACATGCTGCAATACATCAGAAGTACTACACAGAAAAGACATGTTAGAAAATTATACAACGCTCATGCAACAACAAAAAGACGTAACCAAACAATATAAAAGAAATGCTTTATGTCCATTTGTTAAAGGGGTCATATGATGTTGCTAAAAATAACATTATTTTGATGTTTCTTTTGCTCTCAGCATCAAAGCAATATTGTAAAACATGACCTGACCTAAGAGTTTATCAGTGTAATATGTAAATCAGCTGCCTTTTCATTTGCAGACTGTGTTATGTCAGAGAAGAAAAAATTATGCAGTATGATTGATTATTTAAAGACATGTTGTGTTCTACCTGTTTTCATTTACATCCAGGTGAAATTTAAATGCACACACAATCATAACAGCCTTTCTTTTTTTGTTTTGTTTCCTGCATTACTTGGTCGCATTTAAATTAATGTACTTGAGGTGAACACTTCTGTGTGGCTTTTCTGTCATCTCTACCAATCACAAAGAAGGATGTCAGCTTTAGGTCATCTGAAAGTAAATCCATGTAACATTTTTGTCGCTCGACTTTCTCCTTTCTTACCAGACATCGATTAAACAAATGTATGTGCACGATAAATCGCAAACGGTCATCCTTTTTTCTTTTTTTGCGATCCACACCTGCACCCCAACCAAAACCACCACCCCCAACCCCTTGCTTGCCTTACAACAGATGTGGATGACTGCCCCTCTCACCAAACTTTGCCTCCACCCCCTTCTGCCCCACCCCAGAGCCTGGTGCTACCATTCAAACCCCCTTACAACAGGAAACTGCCTTAGACAGAAGGGAAGAAAATGCAAAAGGTGGGTGGGGGGCAGTAGAGAAGGAGATTTGGCTGTTTAACACAAAGACTGGAATGCAAGGAGTTAATCCGTTTGAGGGTTCTTCCGCAAACAAAGGACAGGCCTCCAGACAAAGGTTGGTGGGGGTACGCACAGGGGGGAGGGGTTGGCTTTCCTTTACCATCTGGCCCTTTTGTTTGGGGGAGGGGGGTTGGTGAAGAGGGCGGTACTCTGTGGCCCCTCTGAGTCCCTAAAACCCCGACACGACCCCCCTCCTCTACATGTTACAGCTCCAGACAGACGCTCCTCCAATAGGGTCAACACCATACAGGGACCCTCCAAAACCTACTAGACTCCTCTAATAATCTCACAGAGGGGAGCCAGTAATCCAAAATGGAGAATAAGTTGAGTGTGATAAATGAACACACTGCTCTGTGTGAACCTGATCTACACACATTGATCTTATTTTTGAGTAAGCTAAGGACATAACGTGAATTCCAGACAAACATGAGAGTCTCTAATGGACCCAAGTCAGGATAGATGCCATATTTCATTTGGATCCAGTGAAATAAGGCCGTAATGGATAGGTGTACAGTCTGTTTGATTGGTTCTACTGTTGTGTACCTTGGGCTCGATAGTTTGACTGACAAAACTTTGAAAATTTATGTTTCCGAAAAATTACCAGAAGACAAAAAAACTCCAGGACACGAGGGTTCCCTGCTGTAAACACTAGCTTAGACAAGCAAGCATGAATTTCCAAGCAAGTGCAAACTGGTTTATGGCAGCTTCTTGCTAGTCTAGCTAGTCCACTAGCTTAGCCATGTTTTTACTAGCAAAAAAGCTGGTTAAAGCAGTAGCCTTGTTCACTTCCTGAATGAAAATTTCCTGATAATTTACTCACCCCATGTTATCCAAGATGTTCAAGTCTTTATTCAGTCGCAAAGAAATTAAGTTTTTTGAGGAAATCATTCCAGGATTTTTCTCCATATAGTAGGCTTCAATGGTGGCCAACGGGTTGAAGGTCCAAACTGCCTTCAATGCAGCTTCAAAGGGCTCTACACGCTCCCAGCAGATGAATAAGGGTCTTATCTAGCAAAACAATCAATTATTTTCTTAAAAAAAAAAAAAAAAAAAAGTTATATACTTTTTAACCACAAATGCTCATCTTGCACTAGCTCTGCGATACGCATGCACGTCTTCATGCATTGCTTAATCACGTTGGAAAGGTCACACGTGGTTAGTTCTTCATCTGTGTACTCTGGTTCAAAAAAGTAGGGTCGGGCAAAAAACTCATTTTCTCCTCCAACTTCAAAATCACCCGACATTGTTGTTTTTTTGTAAGGGGAGTTTGACTTTCTTTGGACTTTCGCTTTGTAAACACTGGGTCGGTACTTCCGCCTACATCACGCGTGACCTTTCCAAGTTGACTACATAATGCGATAAGTCGAGCTAGTGCAAGACGAGCATTTGTGGTTAAAAAATATAAAGTTGTATTTTTATTTTTATTTTTTAGAAAATGACTGGTCGTTTCACTAGACAAGACACTTATTCCTCAGCTGGGATTGTGTAGAGCCCTTTGAAGCTGCATTGAAGCTGCAATTTGGACCTTCAACCCGTTGGTCCCTGTTGAAGTCCACTATATGGACAAAAATCCTGTAATGTTTTCCTCAAAAACCTTAATTTCTTTTCGACTGAAGAAAAAGACATGAACATCTTGGATAACATGGGGGTGAGGAAATCAGGATCAGGAAATTTTCATTCTGGAAGTGAACTACTCCTTTAACTATAAGAGTCTGGGTTCTCTGTTGGTTGACCAAGGGAAACTTGCTATTTAAGTAAGCTAAGAAGCCTTGTAGGCACAATCCTGGTCTTTTCAACAGGGTTGTGAATATTGGATCTTACTGAATGGACTGTACATCGACCCCTCACAGCCTAATTTTAATTTACGTAATTAATTCAAATTAAATATGCCCTCTATTCTGGCTAAGGTTCACAGAGAAAAGACCAATACAAGAACCTGTCTTGAAATCAACCAACAGTCATACATTAAGATCTTCAAATCCTTCCACAGCATTTTACTCTAACGTCTGTGTATAAAACAGGCCTAATGCTGTATGGCAACATACAGACACCTACTTCCAAGAATAATGGACCAGCGTTCATTTAGGCTCCTCTACTGCTGCTAACAGCTAGCATGGCCATACCGTCAGAGAATGTTAGGGGTTTTGAGTTACAAGATCGATACATACCACCACCATGAGTGCAGGAATCCAGGAGGCTCTCCTAATGTGATATTCTTCTCCCATCGGATCTAAAAAGGTAGAAACAGACAGAGAGAGACAGAGAAAAAGAGGTCAAGTATGAATAGACCAGGTTCACAAGGCATGAACTACAGTTAAAAAGCTACTTTACAAATTTCCACACCAAATCAGGTCACGTTCACTCTCTCTTTACAGATTACACCTACTCAGTCTACCACTGTAACGGATGGTACCTTTCCAAGCAGACATATCGATTTTATAAAATGCCCTGTCCATAGCTATGCACCCAAAAAGCTGATGTGCATTATTCTGCATCTCTCTGATGTAAGGGACTGATTAACAATGTTTTAAAGCGTGTGTGTGTTTGTGCTGATCAGAGGAGAGTTGTGTAGCCCCTCTGAGGTCCAAGGTGTAAGTAGAGGGAGTTTCAGCAGTAATTGTGAGGTGGCAAAGGGAACAAGCAGGTGACTGCTCCCTCATTAAGCTTCAATGCACAGGTGCGTGCTCCTGCTGTGTACCTGCCTGGGCCGAAAGACCTCCCCTGTGGTGTACAAGTGTGCCTGCGCTAAGGTCTTGAGATCTGACGAGCGTTCGCCTAATTGAATAGCAACGGCGGTAATGGCGACTGTCGACGGCACGCATGTTTGACGCCCTACTGCCGTTACAAAAACACTGAAACGTTGGTAAACACAGTCATCTGTTTACTTGTTGACTCTTTAATATTTAATTACGGTGTACAGTCTAATTTTGCATGCATATATGGCCTATATTCACCTTTCTAAAACTATGTTATTGGGTTGGATTGATAGCCAAATTTTGTTGTCAATACCTAATGCAACAAATAAACATCCTCAGGCAATTAAAATGCAATTAAACTATGACTGTCAATAGATTTAGTAATTATCAATAAATTATGATAAATTACTTTGCACTTAACGTCAGTATATTGCATTATTTTTTTAAGAAAAAAAACCCGACAATGTCTAAGTGTAGGGTTCAACAGTTCAGTATAATGACACACGTGTATTTTTATTTGCAATTTGTAAATTTGTAAATGTATGCTCAAATATATTACTTTTCATTTCAACAATGCACAAGAATTACAATTTAAACTATGAAGATACAACCTGCAATAAATAATAATATAAAACTTTACCCTTTTTTTTCCAATAAATGTAACCAAGATGTTTTTGTCAGCTTCTTTCCAAAAATATTTGACCATCAATTATGATAAAATTTCATCATAAAAATTACAAGTCGACCAATTTATCAATAACACTTTATGGACATTTTACAAGAGTCCATTTGTAACATTAACTAATAATTAATGCTGTAAGAGTATTGTTCATTGTTAGATTGATATTTCATAATTTACTAATACATTTTTGAATTAAAGGGATAGTTCACCCAAAAATGAAACTTTGATGTTTATCTGCTTACCCCCAGGGCATCCAAGATGTAGGTGACTTTGTTTCTTCAGTAGAACACATTTGATGATTTTTAAGTCCAACCTTTGCAGTCTATCAGTCTTATAATGCATAGCAATGGTAACAAAATCTATGAGTGTAAAAAAAACATGCACAGACAAATCCAAATTAAACCCTGCAGCTCGTGACGATACATTGATGTGTAAAGACACGAAACGATCGGTCGCTGCGGGGTTCGTGAAGGGAAGGGCAGCGATCAGGAAGGGTCCAGGTAAGGGGCGGAGTCCGGCGGCCGCACGCGCTCCCCTCTCCGTTATTATTAGTTCATGCACTATGAACTAACATGAATGATCAAGTTATAATTAATATATTAATATATATGTATTTAAAAAGTACAGTACAGTACATTTTCATGGCTCAGTAGTGTTTTTTATTTTTGTAATAAAGTTCATCACTATTTTACTTGGAGTGTTATGTTTGTTTTCATTTCATGAATCTCACTCACCATATTGAGTTTCTAAGTACTGAAATTTGTGTGAAATTATGATATTGTACTGCAGTACACAGGTATTTAATAAAAAAAAAGTACTGCCTTCAAATTTTAAGGCAGTAGTTTTTTTTTATTAAATATCTGTGTATTGTGGCACCTTGTACTGGCTAAAACTCAGAAACAACAACATCTCACCTGTCTGACCAAGATCCCTGGAGATTCTCACAAGCACAAGGCCAGACTTTGGACAACAGTGCTTTATCTTTGTCAAACTTTGTCTGAGCAAAACATTTAAAAACACAGGGCGCTTTTGGAAGTCCACTGTGAGCGCTTAATGATACCCACATAAACAAACACAGCAGGTACCGGAGGACCGCGGCAAATGCAATAAGATAGATGATAACATTTAAAAAGTTCACAATCTGTAAAGGTCCTGAAGCACTAAAGAAGAGTTACACAATCTCATTAATGTCTTATAATGTCAAACAATTAACATTTACACATCTTTATAACTACAAACAAAATCTTGTCAAAAACACCTCTCGTAGTCATTCAAATTATGAACTGAAAAGCTGAATGGACATCACCTGCTTCTAACAATAGGGCCCTATGATTTCAGCGGAAACATTATCCATGGAATCCAGTCATAAAAACAGAATTTACTGTATAAGGCAAAATGTCTCGGAATTTGCCTAATTTTGGATGGATACAACAAAGTAGGCCAGTACACTTAAATCAAAACGCGATATGGACTAATGTCTGTGAATACTAAGCTGCAAAAATACTATATGAATCCTGCATGTTCTGCATGTCTCTGTGTGAATTAATGGCGCAGACGCACGGTTTCGTTTGCTACACACTTACTGAAGTGCGCATGCAAGTTTTTCTGCCTCTGCCACCTCAATATATGAGTACATGAACACATAAATACAATCTCCAGAACTGCTCTGAGTCACTTCATGAGCATTTTACCATTCCATTTGAGAAAAACTATTGTCATATCATATTCAATCAGAAACTTAAAGGTCTTTACAGCAACCCGCCAAAATAAAAGTTTGGTTTAACTTGAAGAAACTGTGACAGAAAGACTACTTAATGTAATGATAGTACTACTACTAATAATAAAATTATGATTAAAACATTATTTTTACCAGAAATATCCACCAGAAAAATTATTTACCAGAATTTATTTAGCAGAAAAATTTAAATAGACAACACAGTATTTCTGGAAAAACAGAAATCAATTTAAAATATATATATATATATATATATATAAAATTAATTAGAGATGCTTTGATTATTAGTATTTAATGAAACCATTCAAATGGAATAGGCCTACAGAAAATTAATGGAAAATAGAATTAGAGAAAAATAAATCTGAATTTGAGAAAAAAAATTTCATAGGACCTTAAACATGTTATTTTTGTTAAACTTTAAATAAACTGCTGTTTAATATTGTAATTTTCATGATTTTAATTAATTAGACATGCTTTCTGATGAATAAAATTTAATTTAACCATTAAAATTAAAACAGAAAAAAAACGGAATCCAGAAGAACTAAAACTGGAATTTGGAAAAAATTTTAACGGAATTTGGGAAAAAATAAAACGGATTTCATAGGGCTCTATAACAACTATGAATGACATTCAACAAAGCACAATAAAAGCATTTTGTGATGATTTCAAGCTCGCAGGCTGGCAAACTCTTTAAAAATGCAACTAAATCAAGTTCCACATAAACTGGCTTCTTTATTCATTCAAGTATAGGCTAACAAACTTTGTAGAACATCTTAAAAAGACGACAAACCAATACAAGTCTTTGAACGGCCTTAAAAGAGAGCATTACAGTAGATCAGGAGATCAAGAGTAGGCTATATTACAAACCAATTGCACCTATTCCCACCGAGGCCAACGTTAAATCAGACTTTTAACACGCAGTCGTGTTTAAGAGCGAATCTAAACACAAGTGGTGGCATCACCTCCACTCCAGACATGTAGTGTACTCAAGCTCTATATAACATTCATATAGTGAGAACAGCACTGACACATCTACAGCAGAAGCTGCACCGCTTCACAAAACCGTAACGACAATCCACTTTACCATGCTAGTAGTAGCCGCACAAATGTTAATGCTGTGATTGCGCCCCCTCAGTGGGCTCAAACTGATTTTTAGAAACACTGGTGACACATTATGTAGGCCTAATATCATAGCAATGACACTTTTATTTAGCAGATAAATGCAGGACGCTTTGGAGAAACAATATCAGATATCAGAGTTTAAGAGTGTTGTAATGAGAAACTAAATTCCCTCTATATTACAAAAAGTAACTTCATATTTGCTGAAACAAAGCAATTGGAATTGATTGATCAATATGAATAAAACGTACAACAAATTGAGTCTCAACCAAAAAGTATTAATTTCTGCCCTCAAACCTGGCTTGAATTAATATTAGTTTTTTCTGAGTACACAATAACAACTGTTTGTTGGGGAAAGTAGATTGTGCAAGACCACTTACCTCTGACAGGAAGGTCTGTGCCGATTTCTGTGCGCCAACATGCAGCAAGTACTCATACACATATAAAGCTAACCTGCAAGACAAAAGAGGAAAAAGGCATTGTAAATCTCAGTTAGTTCTATAAATTGTTTGTTTTGGGTTGTTCCCAAACTTCAAGTGAGAAAAATGCAGTTCCACAGGCTCTCCCATTCTAGATGGACAAGCAAACACATTGCAGCAATTAACTTTGGTGCATGTTGAAACCTCACAGGTGCTTAGTTGCAAAGCATTCTTGGAAATGCAGGCTGGTAAAAATTGGTTGAAATCTGAGATTTGAGGTAAGGAGCATTCATTTCTGACACTAAAGTCTGACCAAGTTTATGAAATCAATATCAATACAAGTCAAATTTATTTACACCGATTGATACCACAACAAATATATACACTACCATTCAAAAGTTTGTGGTCAGTAAAAATTTTTTTTATTAATACCTTAATTTAGCAAGGATACATTTAATTGATCATAAGTGACAGTAAATACTTTTATTATGCAACAAAATATTTATTTTTTTTAATAAATGCTGTTCCATTCACTGATAAATCCTGAAAAAAAATGTATGGTTTCCACAAAAAAATTATAAATAAATAGATAAAATATTAAACAGCAAATTTTTTCAACATTGATAATAATAAGAAATGTTTTTTCTTGATACTTTAGAAATATGCTGATTTGGTGCTCATATGACAGTGGAGTAAAATCTATTAAAATAGAAAAAAAATATTTTGAATGTTAGTATGTATGTATATTTGCATATTAATATTAGCATACATATTAACAAACATAATACCATATAGCCTAGCTGGTAAATATATATTTTTAATGAAATAAACACTACTTTTCATTTTTAACTGATTTTGAATTAGTGAAGTAAATATCAGTAAAGAACATGCATACACTCAAAACATGGATTCCTCATAGCACATTTTGAAATTTAGCTGCTAAATTGAAAGTAGCCTTTATTAAACAAATAAAAATTAGAGCTTTCAATTAATCAAGATTAAATTAAGTAATCTGGTGCAGTTAGCCTATTAAAAAAATTAAAAATGTGATTTAGTTAATTAAATAAACATAAATTACAAAAATAAAAAATCTCATAATTACTCTGAATCATAAATAAATTAATATTTAGAGTTTGGAGTTTTCCAACCATCAGAGCAATTAAATCAATGTTTCTAAGAGCCACTTTGTAATGTATATTAAACTAATCTAAATGTAATCAAATGTAAATGTCTTCATATTTTTCACCAAATATTGATCCGATTAATTTAATTACTGTAACTAATTTAATCAAAAATTGTAAAATTGACAGCCCTAACAAAAATGCATTATCTTTCCACATTGAACACTCCCCAATACTATTTAAAGAGCATCTCCAGAAGAACAGCTTCAAGGATCAAATACCAAGGACTCATTTTCCCCTCAAACGTCTGAATTATTTCTTGGTGTTTCATCAGACGTTCTCATTTTAGGAGCTCCCCTCAAGTATATACAGCTGTCAACAAAGTTGTACTTTTGTGCAATGCAGGAAAAGATTTCAGAGTTTTGCTTCGAATTTAATTACGCTCATTTTTAACATTTAGAAAAATGGAAATTCATAGTCTTAAGTATGGTGCGGAACTCATGTCACACTTCATTTTCTCAAAACCACAGAACATTTGCGCAGGTTCTTCCAGCAATGTGACGGAAGCACACAGTGATGTGATGAGTTCACGAACACCCACGTCCATCAACTGCCTGACAGACTGACCTCAGAAGACCATTAACGCCCACCCATTCACGTCATTCCCAAAATTATGGACTTCCTCAACTTGGAAGAAAACACCTAGATGAACAAATCAAAATCTTTATTAATTCCGAGATTTTTAGCAACGGGGCTTCAATTAGAATTTAAACAATCTTTTTGAGCGACTACATCATATCTTTTTTGAACATATAGCCGCAAACGTCAAAAAACTCAATCTGTCACACAAAATCCATCTTACATGAGCATCCCATCGGGATCCCCAGTTAAAGGGGTCATATGATGTTGCTAAAAAGAACATTATTTTGTGTATTTGGTGTAATTAAATGTGTTTATGCGGTTTAAGGTTAAAAAAACACATTATTTTCCACATACTGTATATTATTGTTTCTCCTCTATGCCTCGCCTTTCTGAAACGCGTCGATTTTTACAAAGCTCATCGGTCTGAAAAGCGAGGTGTGCTGAGCCGTTTTAGGAGGGCGTGGACGAGACTTAACTTTTATTAAGAATATCTCTTTGGGTTTGTGACTTTAGTCTTTGCAACTTTATGGATCTTATCTATTAACGAACAGATTGTAACACTCCAAAGAGAAGGGAAAACTTGAAATCGCATCATATGACCCCTTTAAAGGCCCATTCACACCAAGAACGATAACTACAATGATAACTATATTAGCATCCACATCAATGGACGATAACACTTTGTTTATTATAAGCACATGCTGCAGTTTTGTCACCAGTTTTTTTTAAATGCTCAAGCATTTCAAGAACAATAATTATACCGATAACTATAATGGCGTCCACATCAACAGACGATAACACTCTTTATTATAAGTGCGCAATGCAGTTTTGTTGCCTGCCGCTTTAAATGCTCCAGCTTTTTAAGAACGTTAACTATAATTGCGTTCACATCAACAGACAATAGCGTTGTTTAATATAAGTGCACACTGCAGTTTTGTCGTCTGCTGCTTTAAATGCTTGAGCTTTTTAAGAACGATAACAATACCGATAACGGAAGTAATGACCCAGTGTTTACAAAGCCAACGTGCAACGAAAGTCAAATGCCCTTTACAAAAAAAGGTAAAACAACAATGTTGGGTGATTCTGAAGTTGGAGGAGAAAATGAGTTTTTTGGCCTAACCTACCTTTTTGAACCGAAGTACACAGGCGAAGAACTAACCACGCGTGACTTTTCCAATGTGATTACGCTTTGAAGCTGCACTGAAACTGAAATTTGGACCTTCAAACCTTAATTTTATCAAAACCTTAATTTATTTTCGACTGAATAACGAAAGACATGAACATCTTGGATGACATGAGAGTGAGTAAATTAACAGGACATTTTTATTCTGGAAGTGAACTAATCCTTTAAATGCTCAAGATTTTTAAGAACAATAACTACATCAGCGTCCACAACAACGGACGATAACATTCTGTTTATTACAAGCGTGCACTGCAGTTTTGTCACTTGCTGCATTAATATATTTACTTTTTTTAGCATCCACATCCACAGACGATTAACAATAAGTGTAATGCTGCAGTTTTTTTCGGTTGCCACTTTAAATGCTCCAGGTTTTTAATAACGATAACCATGACGATAACTATATTAGTGTCCACACCATCAGACCATAATGTTCTGTTTACTATAAGCACGCCACAGTTTTGCCATCTGCCATACTAAATGCTCAAGCTTTTTAAAGTCGAGTGGATTCTGATTGGCTGTCAATGTTTTTATCTTTCATCAGCTAGAAAAAAAATTATTCTGAAAGTGATTCCAACAATATTGTTCCTCAATGCCGTTATCATTATAGTTGTGGTGTGAACTTCTCTATTCTCATATAATTGGAACAATTTTTAAAACCGGACTTTTTTATCTTCTTGGTGTGAATGGGCCTTAAGACTAGTCAACTATTTTTTTCAGGCATTCCACTGGCTAGCCAATTTCAAAGATGTAGTTTGCATGCAAAGCCCTACATTAATTGGTTTATTGAAAACCTGACCTCTAGACGGAGTCATGTACTTGACAGCGCAAGTCAGCTCATATGAACCCAACTGGCGTTGAGATGGATCAAACAGAGATTCCCACGAGTGGCCGGATGAAATTTTCATTGTAAGCTCTGGATGATCTGAGGAGCTTCTGCAGGTTGATGATGGGTTCCTGCTCTCGGCCTGATGCATTATTGAGAAGGACTTCATCTACAGTGGGCTTCGGGGAACGCTTTTTGTCATACTGACAGAGGAACATATCGGTATTTCGACTAATAGCGAGACCGCAGGTGGAGGATCAACAGGCTGTGAAGCTCAGTGTGCGTTCGACTAATCCTCATGCAATACAACAGCTCGAGGTGCAATAGGAAGGCGGACCTATTGACTTAATATTTAGATTAATGACTCCGTAAGACCAGTCGAGGGCTATCACTTTCACACGCCTGCTTGTGAGAGCCGCGCAGCAGGGATAATTTAGACCTTGACAGCGGCGTACGAACGGCTGCGTTGATGTCGATACGCCGATGATGGACAGGCATATCTGACGAGGTTCTGCTTTTGCTCTGCCATTCAGGCATGGCGGCTCGCTGTGTGTCCAGTCTCATCATGATGAGCTCTCCTGACTTAACCTGAGAACACATCTTGACATCTCGCCCGAGGCTCCCAGTCAAGACTCCGTTTATACATAAAAGAGGCAGAGCCAAGTTTAGCTAGCTTAAGCGCACACAGTTGACTAATGAACTTTGCTGTCTCCATTTCAATAATTTAGCTGCAGGGTCTCGTGTGAAGACGCACAGCATGTGAGGAGAGCTACAAATGGTGGCTGAAGTTTAGAAGTGAAGTTTTAAGGCATATTATGCATCAGGGAGTCTTTAGTTTCACCTCAGGACCCAACTTTGACATAAAAGCCAATCAGAAACCTGTATTAAACATTTTCTTTTACCTGGAGTAGTTTTTTGAGGATGATGACACACTGTAAAAAAAAATTTTTTTTTAAGTTGTAAACAAAAACAAAGATTATTGGAGTGCGTTGTATAAGAAAATACAATTTCAGTCTTTATCCTTAAAAATTTTAATTTAATTCAATGTGCTATTTGCTGTTTCTTTGTAATTAATTAGAACGTGTACTAGCAATTTCTGAGTTAAAATTAAATTTCTTCAGTGAATGTCGAAAACAACCATGCTGGCATTTGCAAAATAGCAAAATTGTAGGGATGCACCAATTTTATAATTCTGGCCGATACCAATAAGCTGGAAATGATTGGTCAATAAATGGCTGATATTAAATTTTATAATAAATTAACAATAGACTATAAAAACAGTGATTTTAAGCAAAATTGGGCATGAAAATACTAACAAATAGCTATTATTAAAAATATTTTGTTATTTACTAAAGATTACAATTAACAATGTTATTAAATTATAAATCATTAGTGAAATTAAACATTGACAATAAGTGACTGCTAGATGATGAAAATGTGTAATCTAAAAGTAAATACAATCTGCAGATAGCAATAAAAAAACAATAACGGCATATAGCACTTATAACTTAAACAATATCCCTACTGTTTTGATCAAATATTCTGTTCAAAGCATTTAACCAGAAATTTACCAAAAAAAAAAAAAACTATGGAACATAAGTGCCTTATATGCAACTTGTGAGCAAACTGAGCAACACAATGGACGTTTTTTATCAATAAATGATTTGCAAACCAATCACAAGTGGCCTGACATTCCACTGACATCATAAAAAGTGCTGTCATAATATTGTTGGTGTGGCCTTGTTCCACATCCTTGTACTTTTTGACCCAACTTAGCTGATCTTTCATTCATAATAACCAAAGATTGACAGGAAAAATTCCGCAAAGCAATAGTGCTAAATAAAAAATGTTGATAAACTTTCATGAGGCAATCCATCTCAATTATTCTGATGAAAGCCGAGCGAGCGCTCTTTTAGAAAAGATTTCCAAACACGTACGCACAAAACAGACATTTCCGCATTACAACTGAGAGCGATCATTAAATATGCCCCTAAATAATTACAGAGAACATCTCTCTTCAAAGTAAACTTGAAAAGCCATACATTCAGCTATCCAATATGGAAAATTAATTGATTCTCATCCACGTCTGAGAGCAACGTTTATCCAAAACAGAGCAAATCAGACGCTCTTCATAAGAACAACTGTGTCCTGTTTCTGTGTGCATGCTTGATTCCCTTTATATGTTGCTGAAAACACCTCTATGAAGGAGGCTGAACCATCTGGATGAAATCAAAACCATGCATTCAGACCTACTCGCTGCCTCTTAGACACACCAATAAACTCGGGGAACCCAGAGAAGTGCTCAAAATGTTGGGGGAAAACAGGAGATGGCCTAGATCAGAATCTGTTTTCATTAATTTCCACTCCAAAAAACACACCACACAATTTCTTGTGGCATTCCAACTGATTCGCGGAACTAGATCGAACCTGTGGATGCTAAACTTTGATGAACTCAAGCTTTGAAATCCATTCGAAACTAATCAAAGTCAACAATGCTGCAATAAACTTCGTAGATTCCTCCAAGTTCACTTTTTTAAGTGGTTTCTCCAAGCACACCTGCCAAGGACGCCAATGAATGATGTTTAAACTTCGTTAGTACATCCTAAATCAGTTCCTTGAGAAGTTTAATGGCACCTTTGCTTGACTAGTGCTGACAAATTTATTAACCTCCAACGACAGAACAAAGCCTGTGTGGTCACAACACCTCATCTTTGAACACATGAAACGGTAACCTGCGGTGTTAACCAACACTTGAGGAGCCGTCTACATCCTTGCATAACCTGTGTGACCAACACACCACTTCATGTTCAGTATAAGAGTCAAAATGATCATTTTAGCCCCTTAATTGCACGTTTCTTGGAAAAAACACCTAGTTTATATGCAACTTTTTGGGAAGCTTTTCACGCAAAAACAACCAGAAAACACTGAAAGGAGTGGTTTCAAAGCAATAACATCTGAATGATAAAATAACTCAAAAAAACTCAAAATACGGTCTTGTAAGCAACTTCTCTTGGATGCTGATCTTCTATACATCATCTTCTCATTCAGTTTAGCTATGACCGCCAATATTTCCTTACATTCTTCCTTTCTAAGTGTGTTAGATCTCCAAAACTGCTGCAAATCATCTCAGACTCCCATACTAGACGTCCTATCATAGTCTCCAAGTCTGACACGGTAACCTTCGACCCCATATGACAGATTTATGATTACAGGTCACTTTATTACATTTAAGATTTGTAAGGTTGTTTCTATGGCAACAGATTGTACACAACAGTGGAAAAATCACATGGTGATGTACTACCATAAAATATTACAATACGCAGTGTGGAAAAGTCAGCAAAACTTGAAGCAACAACAGTTTTCATAAAAACCGGTACTTTGCGCTACAACAAACCACAAAATATCGGGAATATGTACGCATTAATTTGTCGGAATTACTAAAAGAACTCATTTATCAGTTAGATTTAAAGGCAAAACATGCAAATACACACGCGATGAGACAAAAAATATAATTAAATAAGAAATAAACCAGGTCAAACATATACGAACGGCTACCAAACACCTCCACAACTTTAATACATGTCCGAAAACCGGGAGAAAAAGGCTCGGATGCGTTTATCCAGCAATGTAACTCTTAAACAACAGATGCACGGCGTGTAATGTTGATGCAAAAGATGCACAAGCTTCTAAATGAGAGATGCGAGCATGCAACATCACTCGGACTGGATGCATTGGACAGTTCAAGTGTTCACGTGCGCACCAAAACTTAAATAAAATCGAAAATGCACGGACAGCTCAACGCATTAAAGTGCTAAAAGCGGCTGTAAAGTTGAGAAGACTCGGAGACGATCACTCCAGAGCGCAAGTTCGCACTAAATACACCTTCAAACAATAGTACGTGCAGTTTTAGAAAGTTGCGAGTCCGTAATGAGCAAGGCGAGACTCTTTAAAGCGCGGGCGATTCACTTACTTTTCTCTCGCTTGATTATCAGAAGGGACGACAGCTCCTTTACCTTTGGCGTACATGCTGGATTCTGTTTAAGACTTTTACCCCACTCAACACCTGTCAAAGAAAGCAGCCAGGAAAACGTTCTATCTCCATAGCTACCCCCTTTAGTGTTTTCCCTCCCCTCTCCCTTTTTTTTTTTTTACATCTCCAACATTGGCCACAAATCAGGCACAGTTTCTATTGGGGGGACTTGAAACAGGTCGCTGGTGATTTTTTTCCCTCTCTCGCGCTGTTCCAGGAATGTGTTCTGCCTCCCGCCGCGTCGGGAACGGTGGGGGCCTCTTAAAGGGGAACGCACACTCTCTTCCAGTGTTTACTAGGCTCAGGGACTGATATGGGAAAGACGCTAACATTGCCTCGGGCCTTCGTGAATGACTTTGAGGTTTTTAAAGTAAGAATTTACGCTTGTGTTCCGAGATTGGGAATCTGAGGCGTTTTATTGCTACATTTTTTGTATGTCCAGTCATATAATTGATGGTTTGTTTGACAATTTGAAATATGATGCGGCTTGGTTTGTAGTATTGCTGTCTGATATCTTTTTTTTTTTTTTGTAATTTGGATTGTGTTTGTGTGCAAACTACACACAATATTTAAAGGAACAGGACACCTTTTTAAGTAACTAGTAATTGATTACATGTAATCCGAATTATGTAATCAGATTCCAAAAATTGAGTAGCCTACTTGAAATTAGATTATGTTATGCTTTAAAAAGCAAAATTAGAATGCAGTTACTTTTTTATGGATTACATGATTACATATGCACATAATTCAACAACACATTCGCATTTTAACAGTTCTCTGATGTCGGTTAATGGTCACATTCATATGCAAGTAAACAAACAAAAGATTTCTTCTTGATTGTTTTGATTTTCAAATAATTTGTTTTAATTTTACATTCATGATTTAATCATTAGCTTTTCTTTAGTTTACTTTATCACATATTACTAGTCTGTGGTGAACAACAGACCTTAATCTGGGGTGCGTTTCCCAAAAGCAACTATGGTCGCAAGTTCTGTACTTACCAATATAGTTCAATGGAACTAACGACCATAGTAAACTAACGATGCTTTTGGGAAATGCACCCCAGGTTAGTCACCATATTGAATTTAACACAGATGAAAATGAGGCTGTGAAGGAAAGACTGCAGTCTTTACAATGCAACACACTGTATAAAGCTCCTAGATCATGTAATTTTCATAACTCACAACAACTGTTTTATGGAGTTTTTGTTTGCTGAAAGTTTTTTTTTCCAGAAAGACATTTCGTCAGCTGAACAACTAGGCCTATGTTGTTAAATAACAGTACAATCCAATGAACACACTGTATTTCTGTTGCTCACAGCCTTGTTTTCATTTCTGTCAAAAATTAAATATGGCACTCTGACTAAGATCTATTAATCATTACAAGTTCAAGGGATAGTTCACCCAAAAATCCATATGAATCAAGCGGTTTAATCCAAATATTGTGACGAGATCGGATTGTGTAATATGATAAACGGGTTTAAATTGAGCTTTCATTCACATGTAAACGAACACACATAGAGCACAGTAAATATCTAAACACGGTAAATAAAAACCTAAATTAAATCTGTTCATCATAGAAAGCAATTGTATCTGTTCACAAGCTCAGTTCATACGGATTTGTTTTACAACGCCTTTATGACCTTTTTAGATCTTCTAAGTTTTGGTTCAGTGGAGGGACAGAAACCTCTCAGGTTTCACTAAAGTCTGAATTTGTGTTCCGAAGATTAACCAAAGTCTTACTTTTGGAAAAACTATTTTTTTAGACAGCCAAAAGATTAAATGGAGAGCAAATGGAGATTTTTTCTATACACACGTGTCTTCTCCAATCCAGATCTCAACAGTGTCTCTAACTGTTCTTAAATATGCTAATGTAGCAAAGTCAGAGATTTAAATACAAAGATCTTTCTAAAGAATTTATGGCAATTTTTGGGGTTTCCAGTTCTTATAAAACAGAACATGTCCTCTAATTAAACCCAAAGTATATTTTAGTTTTTACATACACTAGTGTAGGCCTACAAGTACATATAGGCTAGCATATGTATACTTTGGGCTTTAAGGGTAAAATATTGGGAATTGAGGAACAAGACTATGTATCATTAGCCCTGGGGCTCATAATAAAGCTTTATGGTTACAAACATATGGAAAGGGTCAAATAGGGTTTGTCGGAATGCTCGTACTTCCTGCATATTGTACGTTTTAGGAACATACATAAGATATTGTGGCCAACACAATTGGTGGATTATTTTCAATAAAAAGCAAAAAAGAGTCTAATACATCATCTGAAAGTTATGCGTCTCTGTTTTATCATCTTCATAAAGTCTCATTTGCTAAAAGAGCATGACTGGGGTAATGACATCAGCGGGTGAACCAAGGCATAAAGTATGATTATATGCTCTCTGTAATCGCTAGTGTTTAGTGTTCATGCTAGCTGATGTTTCACCATTCTTGAAATTTTATTGTAAATATTCAAATTATGACACTTAATGAGAACTGACACGTCCAAAAATGTGATTTCCATGAGACTATGGAACATCTCATGGCAGAAACTACTTTAGCGTCTCGTCATGCAGCTGCATCTCTAGCGAAACGCTAAATGTGCTTCAGAGTCCTTCAGCTTTCCTGAATAATTATTTTTGGGTGTGTGTTTTTAAACTCATTGTTGATATGGGCACCTAAATTCGGCCATAATTCTTACTAGACACACTTGTTTAGCTGGGTATTTAGTGCCTGACGAAGACCTGATGGTCGAAATGCTGCCGCAATAAATTATTTTTATGGAGCAGTTACATCAGTGTGCGGACAATACGTTTGTATTTTAGCTGGGTATTTAGCCATAATCTTCTTAAAAATGAAACGAAATTGTTATTAACGGAAAATTTAAGCCATTGTTTACTCACAATGTTCCTCTCCGATGTAGTTTTTTTCTTTTTTTTCCCAGAAGTGAACATTCTATCATCATTTATTACTCCCCTCAAGTTGTTCAAAAACTGTATGAGTTTCTTCTGTTGAGCACAGTTGACGGTAGCCATTGACTTCCACAGTGTGGAAAAAAATACTATGGAAGCCAATGGCTACCGTCAACTGTTTGGTTACCAAAATTCTTCAAACTATCTTTTTTTTGTGTTCAACAGAAGAATGAAAGTCATACAGGTTTGAAATAACTTGAGGGTGAGTAAATGATGACTGCATTTTTGGGTGAACTATCCCTTTAAATACACAGACCCGCACATAATATGCAGAAAAAAATAAATATTGTGGCCAGATTTTAGTCATTTGTTTCCTCGTTTTAAGTTCATTTGTGTCCACATTGTACTAATTTGTTAAATTGTCAAATTTGAAAATGCAAAACTGAGTGTTGAATGTCTGTTGCGATGTTTAATATTAAAATAAACTAGTGCTGTCAAATGATTAATCGCGATTAATCGCATCCAAAATAAAAGTTTTTGTTTACATGATATATGTGTGTGTACTGTGTACATTTATTATGTATATATAAACACACACACATGCATGTATATATTTAAGAAAAAATGTTATGTTAAATATATTTATAATATCATATAAATTATATGAATATAAATATATATATATATGTAAATATTTTCAAAATATATACTATATGTGTGTGTATTTATATATACATAATAAATATACACAGTATACCTACATATATTATGTAAACAAAAACTTTTATTTTGGACGCGATTAATCGCAATTAATCACTTGACAGCACTAATATAAATAAATGTCTGCTTGAAAAATGATATGTCAATGCATGCAAGTTGTTATAAAGAATGCCTATTATATAATCATTGGTATTTCAAAAGAGGACCATGTTCTTGTTTCTTTGAGAAGTGGTTTTATTTAATTTTGAGATAAAGACATGTTATGTGTCAAAGCAGTGAAATCTGGGTCTATATTGCATGTTCAAATCATTCATATTACCAGATGTTTTCTCTGGGAATTCATAATGAGATTGGAAATTTTTGAGAAATGCCTAATAAATGCATTACACTGTAACTAAACTCATTAGATTTTAGTTGACTAAATTTACTGTAGATTTAGTCAACTAAAGTCATATGATATTTAGTCGACTAAAACTAGAATAAGACTAAAAACAATTCAGATGACTAAAATGTGACTAAAACTAAATGGGATTTTAGTCCAAAGACTTGACTAAAACTAAATCAAAATTTGCTGTCAAAATTAACACTGGTTGGAAAACTGTTTCTTCATTCCTCTCATTTTCTTCTCCCTCCTGAGCTAAGGGCTGCTGAAGTACTTAATTACATGTTAATTAATGTTTCTCTTACTAAAACGTGTGTTTGGCTAATGCCTCATTGTTAGACAGGAAGACTTATTGACTGAATGAACCAATCAATGCCTTTTTTTTTTCTGAAGTTAAGAGGGTAATTTGTTTTATATTAACAGTGATTAGACATGGTCTGTTTACACTTTCAGTAGTGAAACTGTTCTATAATATTTTTTGCATGGAACTTTATAGTCCTGACAAAGACATTATTATACATAATGTTAGGAGCATTGCTTCTAGCAGATAATTTGATTTCAGATGTTAATTGTGACACTTGTTGTTCTTACAATAATTACAATAATCTAAAAACTAAAATAAAAAAAACTACTGCTAAAATATTAAATCTAAAACGAAAATAATAGAAACGTAACTTGTTGACTTTTAATTAACTTAAATTGGTGGTTAATTAGTCAATCTTTACCCATCACAAGTGTGAACAATGTGCAGTATTAACTTTTTAAGCCTTGTTTTCTACGTTCGGTGTATCTGTTTTACCACAAGGGGGCGATAGTTTATTGCCTATAAGCCGCAGACTCTTTTAGTGTCCTCCTGTTTGGTGCTGTGTGTTTGCTGTTAATAGCGATAGGGAAATAGTAGGGCTTCACGATTCATATCACAATTTTATTTTATTTTTTTTAATCATATAGCACTTAAGTTAATAGTGGCTTTTTTTAGATTCATG